GACAATTTTTATTTTTATAAGCAGTCTGTCTTCTCTGTCACTCCGCAGAATATTTGAATCTGAAAAATTGGTTAGATCCAACTATGTGATTGGTATCGTAACTTGAGAATTATTCTCATTCATGAAAAACTAATCGACATTGTCGATAAGCCTGTTGTGATTGCTCCTGTTGACCCAACCAATGCTGAAGCAACCAAGACTTATGAGAAGTACTTGGAACAATGTCTTACTGCTAAGTGTATCATCTTAGCATCCATGAGTCCTAATCTTCAGAGGCAACATGAGCATATGGACCCTCTTGAAATTATTGAACATCTTAAGAAGATGTACGGTGGACAAAGTAGGAAAACTAGATTACAGTTGTCTAAAACTTTGTTTAGGTCATCAATGAGTGCAAATGATCAAGTAGGACCCCATGTTCTTAAAATGATTGACCTTATTGAACAACTTGAGAAGTTAGGATGCACAGTTGGAAAAGAACTTTCTCAAGATTTGATTTTGCAATCACTTCCTGATTCATTTTCACAATTTGTTGTTAATTTTAATATGAATAAGATGTATATTTATTTGCATGAAATGCTTAACCTACTAATTGATTATGAGAATCAATTTTCCTATGAAAAGAAGAAAGGAACTGTCATGGTTGTTAAAAAGGCCTTTAAGAAAAAGGGAAAAGAAAAGTTTAACGCGAAATAGAAGCCTCATGGACCTACGGGTGGTGTGACCAAACCCAAGCACAAAAAAGTCAATGTCAATCAGATTGATGTTGAATGTTTCTACTGTAAGGAAAGGGAACATTGGAAGAGAAATCGTAAGAAGTGTCTTGATTCTCTGAAGAAATCTGGTAAGACGTTAATGAAAAATGTTTTCGTGATTTCTTTAACTATTATTGATCCTACAATATGGGTATTAGATAATGGTAGTAGTCTTAACATCAGCAATACGTTGCAGGGACTACAGATAAAGAAAAGGTTGCATAAAGGTGAACAATTATTATTGAGCAAACATTGTTGTTGTAGCAGTTGGAACAATCTCGTTAATAATGCTCACTAGCAAAGTACTAGTGTTAGAGAATTGTTATTATGTTCTAAATTTTATTTCAAATGTAATTTCAATTTCTATGTTGGACAAGTGTGGTTTTCGCATTACTTTTAATAATAATAATTGCTCCATTTATCATAATGATGATTTATATGCGAATGGTTGTCTTCAACGTGGCATATATGTTTTACCAAATGTGAATTATAACTTTGTTTTACATGTATCTTCTGGTTTCAAGTGAAGTAGAGATAATCATATAAATAAAACTTATCTTTGGCATTGTAGGCTCGGTCACATTGGTGAGAAAATAATTAACAAGTTACACAAGTAAGGTTAACTTGATAATTATGATTATGAATCATATGAAATTTTGTAATCTTATCTCAAAGGAAAAATGACTAAGTCTCCATTTAATGGAAATGGAGAGCGAGCTTTTGAATTATTAGGACTAATTCATACAGATGTTTCCAGACCTATGAAAATTCAAGCTAAAGGTGAATATTCTTATTTTATCACTTTCACTGATGATATGTCTAGATATGGATTTTTGTATTTAATGAAACATAAATATGAATCGTTTGAAATGTTCAAAAGATTCTGCAGTGAAGTCGAAAAGCAAACTGGTAAGAGTATCAAAATGCTTAGATCTGATAGAAGGGGAGAATATCTTAGTGAAAACTTTATTGATTATCTTAAAGAGAATGGGATTCTTTCACAACAAACACCTCCAGGAACATCTCAACATAATGGAGTGTTTGAAAGAAGAAATCAAACCTTATTAGATATGGTTAGATCAATGATGATATTCACAGATCTTCCAATAAATTTACGGGGGCGCGCTTTGGAAGCTGCAACTTATATTCTAAATAAAGTACCTTCAAAATCAGTATCTACAACTCCATATGAGATATGGAAAGGACGTAAACCAAATTTAAAACATATTAGAATTTGGGGTTCTCCAACTTATGTTAAGAAATTACAGACAGATAAACTTGATGCTGGATCCATTTTGTGTAGATTCATTGGATATCCTAAGGAAATAATGGGATATTATTTCTACCTTCCTTCCGATCATAAAGTGTTTGTGGCTAGAGGGGGAACCTTTCTTGAAAGATAATTTCTTACAGAGGGAAGTCATGATAAAGAAATAGAACTTGACGAAGATCAAGAAAATGATGAAACACCAAAGGCTCATAAAAATGAAAATAAAGTTGAACATCTTTGCTTTGATGTTTTAAAGTTAACACAAAGTATACGAGGTTTAACACCTTTAGCTCAGGGGACGGTTATAGTTCAAGAACAAGTTTATGAACCCGCCATAGAATATGTTTAATAACCTCTTAATCCAATACACGAGCTTGTCATAAAATCTAGTCGAGTTCATCGTGCACTTGAAAAACTAAACTTAATGGTGCAAGATGACACTTTGAATGAAGATTATCATAATGATTATGATCCTAAAAGCTATGAGGAGGCTATGAATAGCATGGATCGTGATAAATGGAAAAAGGCCATGTAATCTGAAATGGAATCAATGAAGATAAAAAAGTATGGACTTTGGTTGAGGCTTCAAAGGAAATAAAACCTATTGGTTGTAAATGGGTTTACAAGAAAATTATTAGAGCTGATGGAAAGGTTGAAACCTATAAAGCTCATCCTATTTCCAAAGGTTATCGTCAAAATGAAGGAATTGATTATGACAAAACTTTTTCCCATGTGGCAATGATTAAATCAATTCGGATTCTATTTGCCATAGCAGTATATTATGATTATGAAATATGGAAAATGGATGTGAAAACAACTTTTCTTAACAGTGAGCTAAAAGAGGAAGTGTATATAACACAGTCTGAAGGATTCATATCTTTGTCTGATCATAACAAAGTTTAAAAGCTACAATGATCCATCTATGGATTAAAACGGGCTTCTAGAAGTTGGAACATTCGTTTTAACAATACAATTGAAAAACTCAATTTTGTTAAATGCGAGGAAGAACCTTGTGTTTATAAAAAGATCTGTGGGAGCATAATAATTTGCTTAGCTTTATATGTGGATGACATATTACTCTTTGGAAATGATGTGTCAGCAATGCAAAGTACAAAGGTTTGGCTATCTGATCAGTTCTCCATGAAAGACTTAGGAGAATCACAACTTATGTCTTAGGAATAAATATTTATAGAGATAGATATAGAAGGTTGCTTGGACTCTCACAGTCTATGTACATTGATACCATTTTAAAAATGTATAACATGGAAAGTTCTAAACGAGGCTATTTTCCTGTAGGAATTGGAGTTGCTCTCATTAAGGATAATTGTCCTAAAACTCCTGAAGAGAGAGAACGCGTGAATAAAGTACCATATGCTAGTGCAGTGGAACCTATCATATACACCATGACTTGTACACGTCCTGATGTCGCTTATGCACTTGGTGTAACTAGTCGATATCAAGAAAATCCTGGTGAGGAACACTGGAAAATGGTTAAGTCCATTCTCAAGTACTTAAAAAGAACTAAAGACCAATTCCTTATTTATGGAGATTTTGAACTAAAAATAAAAGGTTACACTGATGCAAGTCTTGCATCAGACAAGGATGATAAAAAATATACTTCAGGTTATGTTTTCACTTTAAACAGTGGTGCAATCAGTTGGAAAAGTTCCAAGTAAGCTACAGTAGCGGATTCAACTACTGAAGCTGAGTATATAGCAGCAAGCAAGGCTGCTAAAGAAGCTGCCTGGATGAAAAAGTTCATATCTAAACTTGGATTGATTCCATCAATAGAATAATTTGTACTATTATTATATGACAATAATGGTACCATTGATAAAGAAAAAGAGTCAAGATCACACCAGAAATCTAAGCACATTCTTCGAAGATGTCATTTGATAAGGAAAATCATTGAACATTGTGACGTCAAGATTGTAAATTGGAAAGGAGATTGCGGAAGATTCATTCACCAAGGCACTTGCCATAAATGTTTTTGACAAGTACAAGTTATAAATATGATTGAAATACATGACCAGTTGGCTCTAGTGCAAGTGTGAGATTGTTGGGAATAATTAGATGTGTCCAAAAATTCAATTGATCATATAATAAGATTTAGAGTTAATAAAATATTATATTTCATTATCATATTTACTATTTAGTGTAATAGTTAATTTATAAGTCCTTGATTAAAATTATAGACTTGTTATCATGATTGAGATTTTGATAATGAGAAACAAGTTTTTTAATTATTTTAATCTAAATCGTTCTTAATCGTAGAATTATTGTAAATAAGATATCAATAATTCATATATATATATATATATATATATATATATATATATATATATATATATATATATATATATATATATATATATATATATATATATATATATATATATATATATATATATATATATATATATATATATATATATATATATATATATATATATATATATATATATATATATATATAAAGGTCTTTATTGGATATAGATAATAGATCTCATTTATTAATTTGCATATATAGATGATGCATATGTTGATATGATCATTAAACTGAGTCGACTGAGATTTCTAATGGTTAATATTACCTTAATCTGTCAATAGAAAATTCTCAAGATGAACTATAATAATTTTCTTTGACCTGAGATTATCATAGTAATTAACAAGTTATTTATTGTATTTTGATTCTCGATACCTAATACCTTAGGGTGCTAGTTGAAAGGATATTGAATATGATTAAACACTTGTATAATTAATGAATAATCAAGATGAAATCTGTCAACTCTTGGTAATGAGTTTGAGCTCTATGATAAAATTAAAATTCTGACCAAGAAAAATGATATTCTTAAGTCATAGATATTAACTTATTAGAGTTTGACATTAATATCATGCTCTAAAGTTAAGCAGAACCGTAACGGCGGAAGAAAATATTATACTATTTTTCTAAGTGATTTTTGAAAGTTAAATAGTTTATATTATCCCGAAGTTAAGGAGTATTGTTAGATGCCTACTTTGATTAATATATTAATTTAATTATTATATTATCGACTTAATATTGAACCTATCGGGTCACACACAAATGAGTGTTCCGTTTTTACTAAAGAATTATTTTATTACTCAATAATTAAATTATAGAGTTTAATTATTAAAATTAAATATTTTAAAGTAGAATATCATTATATTTTTGCTAGCAAAAAATTATAAATGATAAAATAAATTAAAAATATTCATTTAGTTTGAAATGAATGAATTATATATATATATATATATATATATATATATATATATATATATATATATATATATATATATATATATATATATATATATATATATATATATATATATATATATATATATATATATATATATATATATATATATATATATATATATATATATATATATATATATATATATATATATATATATATATATATATATATATATATATATATATATATATATATATATATATATATTCGAAATATTAAATTATATTTGTTAAAATATTAGATTAGATTAGATTAGATTTAATATTTAAATATAATCCAAGTTGTGTTAGCCCAAACCAATTAGGGTTGTATATAAATAGTCAGAGTGTGTATCATTATTTGTATAATTCAATAATACAAATCCTTATTTCTTTAATTATTCTCTCTTTA